GGTGGATGGATGGATGGATGGATGGATAGGTGGGTGTAAGGGTGGGTGGGTTGATGGATGGATGGATGGATAGATGGATGTAAGGGTGGGTGGGTTGGTGGATGAATGGAGGGAGGGATGGATGGGTGGGTGAGTGTAAGGGTAGGTGGGTTGGTGGATGGATGGAGGGATGGGTGGATGGATAGGTGGGTGGGTATAAGGGTGGGTGGGTTGGTGGATGGAGGATGGAGGGATGGATGGATGGTGGGTGGGTGTAAGGGTGGGTGGATTGGTGGATGGATGGATGGATGGATGGATGGATGGATGGATGGACGGATGGGTATATGGGTGGGTGGGTTGGTGGATAGATGGATGGATAGACGGGTAGATCAGTAAGTGGATGGATGAGTGGGTGTGTGGAAGGGTAGATGGATAGATGGGTGGGTGAGTGAGTGGATGGATGGATGGGTGGGTGGATGGGTAGGTGGATGGATGCATGAAGCGACTCACACATATTCCCATTCTTCCCAATTAAGTCCTAACAGTGATTATCTGAGTGCATTTTTAGTACCAAGCACAGGACTCTGCACAACCATGAGTGTGGTGCTTACTAAGTACAGTCAGCACTTCAACAGTCATACTATTTTATCTGCACAGCAACCTAACAAGTGCATCGCTTGTGCTTAATAGATGAGGAAACTGGGGTCAGAGTGACACTTCCAAGGCCACCTGACTATGGAGGGGAGGACACGGGACTTGACCCCAGGCAGAAGCCACCTGGCCAGATGTCCCAGGGAGGAGGTGCTGCCTTGAGCCAGGCACCACCCACCCTGACCCATCCTCCATGACCCTGCCCTGTGCAGCTCCACAGAGGGTGCCTCGGCCTCATCCTTCCCTGTGCATGTGAGCTCACCAGAGAAGAGAGGGCAGATCTTCTCCCAGCAGGTGATGCCACCCTCGGAGGTGTACTGGCCAATGATGACCTCCAGGAAGAAGACAGGCAGGCCGCTCCCGAAGAGGAAGATGAAGTAGGGGATGAGGAATGCGCCTGCGGACACACAGAGCAGGTGAAGGATAAGGAGCGCTGTGGTCCCACCCCGCCACCTCCTCCTGTGCCTCCACTTCTGATCTGCCAGCTCCCTGGCCACCTGCAGAGTCTTGAAGCTGTGCCTATGCTCCCTGCCACCTCCTCTAGCAAGACCACCTCAGGGGCCACTGCCCAATAGGGTGCATCCTCTCTAGGCCCCCTACCCGCACCTACTAATGGGCTCAGAGGGTTCTATGAAGCCCGAAAAACCATGGGCACCAGGTGTGTGCTCTGCCCCTGGGAACCCACGAAGCCCTCCCAGGGCAATCCCCTGGGGCCAGGACCTCCAGAGAGGTCCTGGATTAAAAGGATTAAGAGATTGGGTTGTAATGGTCAGTCCCCCACCACGTCTGCAGCTTGGAAGGGCACTGCCCAGAGCCCTCCTCAGGCAAAGCATTCTGAAAAGCCCAAAACCCCCACACCGGAGCAGACAGAGACCTACAAAGTAACATGTCTCAACATGTGTCTTCTGCCTTGATACCTCTGCATTACAGCAACGACGCTGGCTTCCCATGTATGGGGTGCAGAGAAGCCAGCGCTGTGCATGGTGCTTGGTAACATCAGAAAACCCTCCAGGTTGGTGGGGGAGGGGTACAGCAGGCTGATGGGAGGAAAATAGGGCCCTGCTCACCTCCACCATTTTTGTAGCAGAGGTACGGGAATCGCCAGACGTTGCCCAAGCCCACAAAGCCACCTGCCACGGACAGCACAAAGTCGATCTTGCTGGCCCACTTCTCACGTTGCGGTGGCTTGCCCTCCGCCTCGTCCTCGGGCCGTGTGCCTGGGCTCTTGCCCGGCGATGGCTTCAGGATGTCCTTGTGGAAGTCCTTCAGGCACAGCAGCTTCTCCTTGGTGGCCATGGCTGTGCTTTCTGCAGGGACAGGGACAGCAGAGCCACTGTGGGACTGGGAAGCTGGGCGTCCCCTCTCCCAGTCCATGCCACATCCGTCACCCCAAACAGCGAGCTACAGCCCACACCCCAGTGAAGCCATCGTGTCCCATAAAACTCAGCGGCCCAGGCCGCCCCAGCACCTTCCACACAACAGGTGTCTGAGGCTGCGGCCAGGCACAGACAAACTTGACTTTCTGAGTCCTAGCACTCTAGAGGCTGAGGCAGGAGGACTGTGAACTCCAGGCTAGCCGGGGCTGCACAGTGAGACTCTCAAAATGAACTGAAATTAACATAGTTTTTTTAAAAGACCCACTCCAGTTTCACTAAGGCCTCAAGGTTGCCCACAAGAATTGTCTATTTGTGAGCAGCAGGATGGATCCCGGGACTCCGATCAGGAAGTCTACAACACCAGGAAATGGAGCTCCCACCCAAGTGCAGGAATGGACGCCTGTGAGGGGTGTGTGCAATTTAGGAACATGTCCACAGCACAAAGAACAGGCGCTTCACAGAGAAGCCCGAGAAGCCCCCCGCAGCACCTTGCAGTTCAGTGGTGTCCCTTCCTGGCACGGGCGATGTGGAGGCCCTGGGTGGGGCCTATTAAGCTCCATCCACCCATCCATCCATCCCTCTGCCCACCCCACAGGCCATCAGGGCTTGACCCCCAAAGGGCAGAGATCGTGCAAGGTGGGAGCTCGGGTCAAAGGGGGCACAGCTGCTCCGCTCTGGGCCTTGGCCTCCAGATCCACAGGCTGAGATGGTGATAGCCAAGGTGGCTGACTCGGCACCACACAACCCTGGTCACAACTTGTCCGTCTCCTTGATCCTAATTAGTGACTGAAGACCAGGTGTCATGGCACATGCCTGTCATCCCAGCACTGTGGGAGGCTGAGGCAGGAAGATCCTCAGTTCAAGCCCAGCCTGGGCAACTTAGCAAGACCCTGTTTCAAAAACAATAAAAACAGCTATAAAAAAAAAATAGCTGGAGAGGTAGCTCAGTACAAAGACCCTGGATTCAATCCCTAGTATGACAGGAGAAAAAAGAAAGCAAAGAAAAATGGACAACGTTGAAATATCAGACTTCAGAGAAAAGTTGAGCCACCAAGGGTCTCTGGAACATAGAAAGGTCAGGGCCTCGGGGTTCCCACCTCTCAGAGCAGCCACAGCACCACCACGCGCGTGCCAGGCAGCTCCAGCCACAAAGACATGGCCTGTGCATCGGCTCTAGGCAACGTCAACTCCTGGGCCACAGCAGAGGCGTGGGGACAAGGACACACCCCACAGCCACGCTCCAGGGGCCTGGTGCTGTGCCGGGTGTGGGAGGGCAGCCAGCAGGTACTGCTGGACAGGTGAACCCCAAGTGGCCCCTGCCCCCAGCCCCTCACCTGTGCACACACATGGTGAGCCACCAGCTTCAGAGCCTTGGACCGCAGGATGGACAGGGACAGGCACACGCGGCCAGGCGGGTGCCTGGACCTGGGGGTGGATAGGGACGTGCAGCCAGGCCCCAGGGGCTGCGCCAAGGGGCAGCGGCACAAAAGCACAACACCGCATTTCCCCCACGCCTCCTTCCTCTCCCGCTCGGGTGGGGACCCCAATTGTTTCACTGTCTGGCGGGGAGCAGACGGAGGCTTCCTGGAGCCCAGAGCCCTTCCTCTGCCTGGCGGGGCATCCGCACGCCTTTCTCTCCCGGCTCCCGCGGGGCCAGGAGGGCCCCGCAGCCCACGCCACTGCAAAAATAGCCCAGGCATAGCATTGTTCCAGAGAGAACCTGCGCCCCCTGATGCTTATCGGGCAGGCGGCATTGTGGCAGCAGGGTGGGCACATAATTGGAGGATGTGGGACGCGTGCAGGAACAGCCCAAGGTGGGCCAGGCCCACCCTTCTGGATGCTGCCTGGGTCTCCAGGCTGCGGGGACATCCCAAGGTCAGCCTGGCCTCAGTGCTGCCTGTGCCCTGGGGAAGGGGCTGGGGGCCCCCGACCACACAGGCAGTGGGACTGGAAAGGCCCAACCTGCTTCTTGGGGGAGCCGAGGGTCCTGCTCTGCCCACCCCCCACAAGGCACTCAGATAACCCTCAGAAAATGTGGGAGTTAGCTCTGGAGCTCCCCAAGACCTCAATACTGCACACTCTGGTCTCCTAGGAAACAAGGACCCCCCCTCCACTGGGCGTGGTGGCGCACACTTGTAATCCCAGCACTCAGGAGGCTGAGGCAGGAGGATCCCTGTGAGTCTGAGGACAGGCTGGACTACATTCTAAGACCTTGTTGCAAAAAAACAGAAGTAAAACATGGACCCCCACCCACGGCCTGCTTGGCTGGATGGCCCCCTTGCTCCCTGGGAACCCAGGAGGCTCTGCAGGGCTCACAGCTGCTGTCTAGGATGCAGGACCCAGGGATATCTCTGTCCCTGAAGAGTAACGTGCACGGGGTTGCACCAGGCCTCAGACCCTTGCAGTCACCTGCCTCCCTCAGGTGCCCTCCAAACCCCACCACAACCTGGAAAGAACTGGGATCTGTGGGTCTCCACATACACCCTGCCTCCTATCACCATGGCAACATGCCCCCCCCCCATGCAGCCACTTAAAGTAATGGGAACACAGTGGGCTCAGGGCCACCTCGTGGCCCCAAACCATCTCTGTCCCTGCTGCTGGTCCCAACCCAGACGCCAAGGCCTCTTCCTAGCTGCTGACCTCAGGCACCTGGCTCAGTTACTCTGGTCCCCAATCCCCGGCTGCACCGTGGGGGCGACAAGGGTCACAAGAAGGCTGCACGAGGCTACTTGGAGAGCGAGTGGCATGCGGCAGGCCAGCTGTCCCTGCCATCTCTAGGGCCGTAATTACCACTGTCCTGCTGAAGGTAAGGCCATGGGCAGAGGCCCTGTGACAACTATACCTCCGGACAGCATCTCTGCAGTCGCCCTGCTAGGCCAGTGGCCCCCACCAGGGGCCGCTCAAGGGGCCAGAGAATCACAGGGTCCCGCCACCCTGGGCTGCGTCCTGCTGGCCCTGTAGACATGACCTGTTTTCCTTGGCACGCAGCCCAGGGTTATTTTGTAGCGGCTGACAGCTATAATTCCCCATTTTAAGAGCTTCCTCTTCAGTCACTACAGCTCTAGCGATTAGGGGAGACTTTGTACAGAGGCCCTGGCAGAGCCTGACTTACTGCCCAGCTGGAAATGCTCACTTTTCTGTTCCCTGCCAGCAGCCAGATCCAGCTGTGCCTGAAGGCTGGCCTGCAGCGGGTCGCCTGGCCAAATCTTGGCACAAATGCAGCCCCATTCAGCCCCAAGCAGCAAGGCCGTGGGCTTATGGTGGGGCACTTCTTTGCTCCCCACCAGTTTTAAAGCACATTTTGGACAGGGGTGGTGATGCAGGCACTCAAGGGGCTAAGGGAGGAAGATTGCAAGTTTGAGGCCAGCCTAGGCTACACAGCAAGCCCTAGACCAGCCTGGACTACAGAGTAAGACTTGGCTTTAATGACAAAACAAAAAAAGTAGCAGACTTTTGAGTACAGTACACTGGGCTGCACTAATTATAAACGGTTTCCTATTTGCCCATCAAACCCTCAAATTTGGGAAGAGGGGCTGAGAAAGTGATGGTGTCTCTGGGTCTCGGTTTCCTCATCTGGTGAAATCTGGAGATGGAAGTCAGACTCACCCCATCAGATTAGCTCAGGGCACACACGGCAAGTGATCGGCCCTGGGGACAAGGGCCACACGGCTGGGTGTGCAGCATGCGTGGCAGGCACTGTGCCAGGCTGAAGAAACGGTGCGGGTTTGGGACCAGGTTTGGGCTCCACGTGAAGAGCCAGCTAAGGGACCCTGAGTGTCCTGACTGTGATTAAAGACAAGGCCCTGCACCCTGGAAACGTGAGGCCGTGGACTTCAGAAGGCCAGGCCTCACAGCAAAGGGCTGAGCACAGGAGGGGCTCACACACACCACTCGGTCAGCGTCCTCCCCACACAGCGTCGCTCCACCTTCAATACACAGAACAAACATGGCCCTGTGCAGAGCCAGGCCACCCCGCTGACCTCCTCAAGTGCTGCCCATCTCCCTTCTGCACCGAGGCCAGAGATGATCTCACTCACCAACGTCACACTGCCAGTCAAACCCCTGAGCAGGGAACAGCTCCCAGGTCTGCTCCGGCCCTCAGCATCCTCCTTGCTGACCCCTGATGTGCCACCTGCACCTCTAATGAGCCAGCTACTGGGCCAGGCCAGCAGACACAGGGGGACCAGGCTCAGGGGAGCAGGCCAGGAACAGGACACCACGGGATGGGGAGGAGGCTGCAGGAAGGGTGGTGCTATGCACAGGGTGTGCCTGGTGGCCCAGAGGCGCTCCTGGGTTCCCAGGAGGGCGGGCCCATTGGTGACGTCCAACCTGCATGTTCCTGGTGCCACCCCAGCCCCCTGAGTATTCAACAGGCGCTGCTGGGTAAGCACATTGAGCTAGTGTTGAGCGCCAGCCTAGCACACAAGAACCCGGGCTCCATACAGCTCCAGATCAAGGAGAAAAAAAAAAAAAAAACTGAAGCTTTTTTCTGTCATAGAAAGTAGACCTTCAAAAGATTTAATCATTTAATTGGATCACGTGGTCCATATCCTTTAATCATCTGTTTTGAGAAAAGGCTAACTCAAGTGTAACAGCCCAGGACCTCCTGGGGCCTGGCGGGCAAAGGCTGGGTGCCCAGGACAGGGTTGGGGTGCGCAGAGAGGGCAGCTCAAAGCCGCCCAGGCTGGCATCCACCTCGGACCAGATCCTGAACGTAGATGCTCCCAAGAACCCCAGGGCACAGGCATACACACACACACACACACACACACACACACACACACTTGCCGTGTCAATACTATGGGGGCTGGGTCGGGGGGGGGGCACTTTGAACATGCCAGCCTCTGGCTGGCCCCTTGGGAGGGCCCCATGAGGTTGCCAGGAAGCTGGGCACACTCTTGGCCAAAACAAAGCTGAAAACAATGGGGGACATTCTGGTCCTAAGGAAAGTGAGGCCCATAGGGAGTGGCTTCAGCAGCTACCTCAGGGACAGGGGACAGGCTGTCTCTGCCTGGGCAAAGCGTCCCCTCTGCTGGCCTGACTGCTCCAGAGCACAGTCCGTCCTGCCACTGCCACTCAGCCCCAGGCCACAGCCCTGCCTGCGCCTGTGCTGCCTCACCTGCCACCACTCGTGGTTGAGGGCACATGGGGCCACTGGCCAGGGATCTCAGGTCCCAGGTGACTTCCGGCAGGGGCCCCTTGAGCTGTGCCGGCCAGAGGCAGTGGGCGAGCAGAGTCTGCAGCCTGGCCTCTGGGAAATACCAGGAGGGAGCACAATGTGGGTCACATCCACAGCCCCGTCACGACCCCTTGTGAACTCAAGATCTCAGCAGGGGTTCTGATCGCTCAATCCCCTCCTGAGGAGCCAGGCGCCAGCCCAAGGCCCTAGAGACTCAGACGGGCAGTGGAGAAGCCACAGCAAGTCAGGGTGGCTGGCACGGCAAACAAGAGACGCAGGAGGCCCGGCCTGTGCAACCACGGCTGGGGGCCTGGGCTTCTGACCGTAGGGAAGTGTGTGGCAGAGATCTGCGGGAGCAGCGTCTGAGAGCTGGAGATCCCCACGGCCTCACATGCTCCAGGCAGCATGGGGCCAGCCACCCTCCAGGGCGGGGGACACGGCTGATGGGGCAAGAGCCACCACTGTCGTAGGCCACAATCCTACCCCCAAATGCTGAAGTAACACAACAAGGACGCTGCGTCAGAGATGATGGCCAGGGGAGGGGAGGGGAGGGATGGGGGGGGCTGCCTGAGGGCATATGCGGGGCCACCTCCATCACTGTCACTGTCACCATCACCCAGGTGATGGCGACACGCTCTGGGAGCTTAGGCTGTAGGCTCTCATCCCCGGTGGCTGGACCATGACAGCTCAAAGCAAGGGCCGAGTGGCCGCCCACCCAGAGAGCGAGGGTGAGTCAGCGGCACTTCAGGCACCAACTCGCCATGTCACTTCCCCGCCACCCCGGAAGCAGGCAGGAGCCGGGGCACTTCCTGGACAGGCCCGGAGACTCAGCGTCTGCCCCACTTCCCCTTTCATGCTGAGGACCCAGAGCACCTTGGGGGCTGCAAAAAGCAAGGGGGGGCCCTTACCCCGTGACACCGCCACTCGGGGCATGGGCACGTCCGCTGCTGTCACCAAGCTCTGTGGAAACCAGCCAGGCCGCTCCCCCCCAGGCTGGGCATTGCCCTGTTTGTCAACAGCCTCTGTCTTGTGCACCCGGTTCCTCTTTCCCTTGGTCAGGAAAGGCCCCCTTCCTTCCTCACACGCCCTTACCTCACCCTGGCTCAGGGGAGCGCCATCACATGGTGCCAGGACTGAGTGGCCGGGGCGGCAGGACGCTGTCACAGCGCGCCCGCCGCAGCTGTTCCGGGGCCCGGGCTCCTCCCCTTGCCGGCCGCCCCGCGTGTGCTGTGCATCCTCTCCCTCGGCCTGGTCACAGCCGTCCTCCACCATCAGCTGGACCTGGCACAGGACTCGTGCGTCAAAGTCCAGCAGGTGGACACCTGGGGCCCAGGACACCAGCCGGCGGCTGAATGAGCTGAGGAGTGGCCGGGACTCCTGGCCCTGGGCACGGTGCCCCCACAGATGCCCAGATTCTGCCAGGCTTGTCTCTCTGAGATGACCCAGATCTTTAGGGGTACGGCATCCACTCCCCAGCCTGCTCCCTGGATGTCTCCTGGGGGTGCCATAGGCCAGTGCCCAGACCCACACATGGTTAGGCTCAGGCCACAACAGCGATGACAACGCAGAGGTCCTGACATCAGACGCCCCGCAGGTCAGGAGGAACCATGCTTCACCAACGGGGAACTGAGGCTGGAAAGAGGGGGGCCCTGAAGGGAAAGCTTGCTTCATACCTGGGGACGGGGCACTTCTCTCTGCATGGGCCACCCCAGTGTCTCCACCTACCCAGGCCGAGCCGGGACACAGGGCATGGCCACCTGGCCTGTCACACAGCGTCATAGCAGCAGCCACGCTGCCCCAGGTGCCCCGACCTCCCCCCCCACCATTCCTCATACTAGACCCCAACTGCTGCTGGCCGGTTGGAGACGATCTCTGAATTCTCCACCTGGAACCCAAGATCGCCACACCTTCCGTTCTGTGCTCAGCGTCCGGCACCAGGCTCCTCCTCTGCTGGTGTGAGGCCCCGGGCTCCTCATCCTCCCTGGCATAACCTTCGCAGCCTGGCCTTGCGCCAAGTTCTGTGGCCTGGTCCTCGAGCTGCATCTCCCTTCCTTCGCACGCACCCCCCATTCAGCAGGCGCTTGGCAACCTGGGCAAGGTTCCGAGTTCTCCATCTGGAAACATTCCTGGGACCCGGAGGAATCTGGCACGTGATAAGACGCACATGCAGCTGGCAGGACCCATGGACCTCGTGTGCCCTCTGCACAGGGACCCGGGACCTGCCAGTCCTTTGAGAACCCAGCTTCAGGAGGCTGGGAGGGCCACAAAGACAGCACAGGAACTTAACCTGGGGGCACCCAGATGTCTGTGCATTCTCTGCTGCATGCCCCGTGGGGCAGCCACCTCCACCCTGTTCTCAGGTCACCAGGCTGAGGCTCAGGAGCCACTGCAAGCAGCACACAGCAGGTCCCACGCAGGACCCAGCCGCCACAATGGAGAAATCGAGGCCAAGGTGACTGGGCACAGGGTGATGGGCTGGGAGAAGGGGGGACACGGAGATCACAGAGACAGTCCCAGGGAGGCGGGGACCTGGCCGCAGCTGCCCGGGCTGGGAAGGACACCTTTCCCTGCAGCAAGACATGGGTGGCATCACCTGCTCCCCAGCAGGGACCAAGGGCAGGGCAAGGTCACAGGGGCCTGGTGACCGCTGCAGTCAGGTCCCAACTGTCCACGGCCACACGCAGCACGTCCCAGGTGAGGACACCCTTCTCTGTGTACCTAGGTTCCCTCAACTACTGTGTGGGGACAATAACAGCACCCGCATGGTGGCAGTGACAGGGTAAGTGACTTCACCGCCTCAGGATGGGCAAGTTCTGCTAAGTTAAACTCCAAGTGCAGCCCTGCCGGGCATTTCCTGCAGGTGGACAGCAGCCCTGAAGAAGGATCGCATGCTGCTCAGCCCACCCTGCCACTCGGGGCGCCCCCCCCATGGCCCTGCCTCTCCCAACTCCGACCCTAACTGAGGATGAGGGTGGGAATGAAGGATCTGAGGGGCCTCCTGGGGGCCGGGTGCCTTGGGGGGACCTGTCTGTGCCTGGTCGGGGTAGTGGCACCCAACAGATAGGCACGGGAGGGGAGATGGGGGCTGCGCTGTGGGGCAGGCGCGTCGGGAGGACCACAGCTGCCGCCCTGATGCCCCACAAGGCCTCACTGGGCACCTGGCTCCCACAAGTCCCCAGGCTGCCGACTGATCCCCAGCAACTCTAGGCCAGCGCTGTGACCCCATGCTGCCAAGCGAGCTGGGAAGCCTGCTCTGTGCCTCAGTTTCCTCTTCTGTCAAACATGGCTGCAACAGTGCCCCTCCTATGGTACAGTGCACAGTGCCCACAGCAAAGCCAGCTTGGGCTGCCGGGCAGTGGAGGTGGTGACCCTGGTGGCAGCGCAGGTCCCAGCCCCTGGCGGGGGCTTCCCTCTGGCCACCTCCCTCAGAGACTGGGGTTCCCACAAAATGCAGCTAACGAGAACCCCCACCCCAAAGGCAGGAGTGGTGGGTATGCCCAGAAGCCCAGCACTCTGGAAGGCTGAGACAGGAGGATCAAGAGTTTGAGCCTAGTCTGGGCAATTTCAGGAGACCTTGTCTGAAAATAAGAAAATAAAAGGGGATGAGGAGGAGGCAGGGAAGAACCTTTCCTGCAGGGCTAAGTGGGACTTGCCCCTCTATCCCAACCCTGTGCCTCCTGCAGGAAGCCAGCCAGGGCCTGGGGCAGGGCACCTGTCCCTGGCACTGACGACACGGCCACCCTCTGCCTCCACGCCTCCCACTGTGAGAGCCGGGGCCCACGGCCAGCTGTGCACCAGGCATGACCCCACCGCGGGGGTTTCTCCTTTCCTAGACCAGTCTGGGGGGGTGACTGCTCCCTGCCTCCTATCGTCCCAGGTAAGGAGGACACAGCCTTGGCTCTGACCTCACAGCTGCCCCCGTGCTGCACTGCAGGGCCAGCCCTACCCACCTGGTGGGCTGGGTGATGTACGCAATGTGACCGGGGCCACAAGGAAGGAAGCCACAACCCTCATCAAGGTGCTGAGGCTAGGACCTTTGAGCCTGAATTCCAGCCCTCAGTCTGCCCCAGCAGGAGCAGGAGGGGCAGAGGTGGTGAAGTTGCTTTGTCATTTTGCAAATCCCTGGCAAGGATTAGAATCCAAGTGTCAGCTTGGACCATACCTGCACCCTGCAGGCCTCCAGCTCAGCAGTTCCTACTTGGCACTCCTGTGAGGAGACACCTGGACAGGTGAGCAGGAGTGATCATTAAACGCCCACCAGGCCGGGAGAGAGCTTCTCACGTTCAGCCTGGCTGAGCACGGAGGTGGATAAAGTCCAAGGGGGTGGCACTGAGGTTAATCTCGGTCGTGGAACCTGGGGCTGTCCTCCACGGCCCCTCCCTGCCCCATCCAGCCCCCGGCCCAACCATCCACACAGTCACACCCCCCACCCCCACCCCCAGCTGCCACAGAAAAGCCTCCTCCTCCCCCCGGGCCAGGGCACCTGCGATTTAGGCCACCTCTATAAATAGGTGAGAAAGCATCCTTTAATTGACTCACCTATTTATTGGTCACCGTCCCTCCTGACCCTGGTGGCCGAGTTCTACATTAACCCCTCAATCCCCTCTCACTCCCTCTCAAGTCCCGTGGTCCCAAGTTCACTTCCTCCACCCCCACTCCCACCGCGTCCCCCACCCGCCACCTCGGAGCAGTGAGCAGTGACCCCAGGACGTCACACCAGGGTGGGGGCTCCGCTGTGCCCTCTGTGAAGCGGCACGGCCTGCGGGGACAAAGACACTACAGCTGAGGTCTGTTCCAGACCAGCACCACAGCCCATCCTCCACAGGCCCTTGCCTGCTCTGAGCCACGCGAGCCTCCCTGAGCCCGGTGTCCCCTCACAGTGGATTCCCTGGGGACTGGGGACAGTGGCCACACACAACTCCCCCTTTGCCTTCCAGCCAAATGACAGCTCCTAAACCACGTCGCCCACCGAAACCTAAACCACACGGCCCCGAAGAGCACCTGGGGCCACAAGGTGAGGACACAGGTCACCGGCACCACTCAGGGCCACTACACACGGCACGGTGGCCACAGTGAGGCCGCACCCAGCCTCACCGGGTCAGAAGGTCCTCTCCTCCTGCCTGTGCCGCTGCATGGCTGTCACCCTGTCACCGGAGCTCTCTGCAGCCACAGGGGCTGGGGTGCAGCTCAGGACAGGCAGGGTAGTGTGGGCAGGGGACTCGGGTGTCCTGACCCCCAGCGTCTCCACCCTTTCTTCAGGGCTGGATGTGTCATGGCCCCCCAGGCTGCAAATCACTGGGTCCCCGGTCCCACACAGGTCTGGGCCACCACAAGGCCAGGGCTCTCGAGGGCTCAAAGGTCGTGTTTTTGATGCTGGGTTTCAGATGCCTGAGGATCACCCTGACTTCCCTGCCTGCTTCCCAAAGCTGCCAGCGGTAAATAGGAACTTTTCTGGGCCACTGAAAGGGCCCTAGGGAAGGGAAAGATCCCCACCGCTGACTGAGGACACAGCTGGGCTGGGCCCTCAGGTGCCAGAGGTCACATGTTGGCGCAATCTCTCTCAGTGCGAGATGTCATCTTACAAATGTGACCAGTCATCCTGCAGCCCTTGGGTACGACCATCACTAAGAGGACACAACAAGAAGTGACACTCTACTTGTCATCTCAGCCCTTGGGAAGCTGAGACAGGAAGGTTGCTGCAAGATCCAGGTCAACCTGGGCTACAGAGCAAGACCTTATCTCAAAAAGAAAAGACAAAAAAAGAAAAGCTTTCTAAAAGCTAAGCCATGTCTCCCTCAAGCACCAGTGACTGGCAGCTCCATGCAGCCTCATCTGCTGCGGGTAACTGAGCTAGGCAGGGGAGGGGGCACAGCCAGGAGGTGGCAGCAGGGAACCTGCCGTCTGTGTGACCCTGGCGTCCCCATGCCCTCTGGGCCTCCTTTCCTGAAGAGGTGGGCAAGAAGTAAGCGTGGCCTGGTGCCCCTCAGGAGCCAGAGCCAGCAGATGCTAAACAAATGAGAGGCGGTGGGGTCCCTCACTGTGACGGTGCCTGGGGACTGGAGGGGCACATTCTAGCCCAGCAGGCAGCACAGGAGGGTATGACGGGGTGTTCAGCTAATGTGGGCACACTGTCCCATCCGGAGAACCCCAAACCCCAGCCCGCCCTCTGACCCTCCTCCTAGAGACCCTGTCACCTCCCAAGGTGCCCTTGCCACCTGGGGACACTCACTGAAGGCAGCTCTGGGGGGGGTGGGCAGGCCAGCCAGGCAGCCCTGTCCCCATGATGGCACGCATCCCCTGTCCCTTGCCTCCCTCACACCTGTGGCCCAATCAGAACCAGACCCAAGGTCCCCCGAGCCCTCTGTTGCCCAGAGGGAGAAGGTACCAGCGGTTGACACGCAGTGGTCTGCCATGGGCAGCAGCCACCACAGGACACAGCGCACCAACCGTAGCTCTGTGTCTCCAAGTCCTGAGCCTGGGGCCCGTGTCTGACCTGGCAGCCCTGCCCTGAGTGCACCAAGCACCCGGTGCAGGCAGGACACTCGGGAAATGAGAGGACATGACGACCACATGCTCCCGGAGCCACACACTGTCACCTCCTCCTCGCAGGCCTCTGAGGTCACTGTCCAACCCTCCTCCACTTCCCTGCGGAGGTCATGCAGCCATAGATGTACCGCCTCCCTCCCAAGCCGTGTCCCTTACAGTGGGTGCCACCTGTACACTCACATGGGTGGTGGCCTCTTCCTGTTATGTGGCCCCAGGCTTAGGTTCCCCTGCGGGTGGCCAGGGGCCAACACCCTGTGTAACTCAGCCCTGAAGACATGCATCAGAGTCCCGTTCCCAAGTCAGGAGGGGCGCAAGGGCAGGGGGTCTTCCAGAACCACTTCTGGGTGCTGGTGGCAAGGCCCAGGCAGCCTGTGGGTGCCACCAAGCTGACCATGGGGCAGGGCTGACTACAGGACACAGACAGAGATCAGCCCTGTAGTGGGTACTTGGTGTCCAGACTCATCCTCCCTGGGGATAGGAGCAAGGGCCGCCTTCCAGGAGCAGCTCTCAGCTTCTGAGAAACCTCTCCTCAAAGACGCCGCACCCCAGGTCCTCACCGAGCCCTCAGCTCCTGGCTATCCCTGTGGGGCCGGCCCTGAGTGCTGGTGGAGTACTGAGGACCAGACACCTAAGGATCGTGCCAAGCAAGGGCTGCGAGTGCCGCGTCTGCCCGAGCGGGAGCACCCAGATGGGACAGTGCCCTCGCCCGAGTGACAATGGGCCACACTTGCTCAGAAGGGCTGTGCACTGCCACATACAAAGGCTTCGCGTTTTCCTCCTTAACCCTCACAGCTGGTGAGGTGCCCACCCTCGGCTGGTGGTGACACCCCCTTCAAGCCCACAGACAACGTGGAGCTGGAACGGAAACAGGGGTGGCCCTGCGTGTTCGTGACGTGGGACGTGCATCAGGCGCCCTAGGGATGGGCAGCCCCTCGGCAGCCTTGCTCACCATGTCCAAGCCCAGGCTCGAGCCCCCATGACCAAGGAAGCACAGGTGCCTCCCTGCTGGGCTAGGACTCCGGTGTGCTGGGACACCGACATGGAAGGACCCTGCTCACAGACGCACCCGTGTCACCGTTCTCTGCCACATTCAGCATGCTGGCCACACTAGCAATGCTGAGCTACGCCTTGAAGCGGTTCAGGGTGGAAAGCAGAGGTCGGGGGCGATTCAGCAGGGAGCACTGCCTGGCATGCACGGGCCTGGGCTCTAGCCGCAGCACCGCAAAACGTTAAAACACAGCAAAAAGGTCAGGGTGGTCAATCGTGTGCGGTGTTTCATTACAATTAAAAATAGAAAGGGATTAGACCAGAGAGAAGTTACAGCCGGTAGATTCCCGTCACCAGGGACTAATTAGATAAACGGTTTGCCCAACACATTAGGACTTGGGGCCGAAGACTGTGCCCCTAGCCCACAGCTGGGCTGGTAAAGACGGTTTTCCCCACATACGCAGCACCCATTCACCTGCATAGCTGTCTGCAGTCTCCTGGCTGTCACCGTGGGGTGTGGCCAGCCAAGGGGACACCACGCAGTCACAAGCCTAAAAAGCCGTTGGCCTTTTTAAAAACATCTAAGTCAGGAGCTAACAAACCTCTCTTTTAACCCGGAAGAATGTCAGGGAGGCTGAAATCAGGCTCCCACACACATCCACACTGCGGCTCCTATTTCCAAATGAAATGTCTGGCCAGACGCCCTGTGCCCCTGACTACAGGGGAGGCTGAGGCAGGACTACTTGAGCTCAGGAGTTAAGGACAGCCTGGGCCATGGGACAAGACTCCATCTCTAAATACTAAATTTAAAAAAGGAAGACTTTTATGACGCGTATTAAAGAACACCGTGGTTATCACTGGCAGTGGGAACGCGGATGAGCTCTGCTGCCTTTAGACTCTCAGTGCTTTCCAGATTCTTTTCTTCCACGGTGCTGGACCGGACCCCAGGGCTCTGCACGCCCCGAGCACGCGCTCGCCCCTGCGCCGCACCTCACCCCTTTCAAAGTCTTCTGCGTGAACAACGTGTTGCTTTCATAACGCGCAGCAAGCCCATTTTATCACTGCTTGGCCCTCCCGCTGTGCGGGCTGGAGGTGGCATTTTCAAGGTCACGGGGTTCTCGCACACATGGAAGCCGGGTAAGGGGATCCGGCAACCCTGGCTGCTTCAAAGGAAGGCTGAGGCAGGAGCATCCCAAGTCCAAGGCCAACCTGAGCTACTCAGCGAGAGCAGGGAGCATCTTCTCCTCGTGAAGGCACTGGGCACCTGGGAGGGCAGACCTCACCCTCACGTGCCCGGGGCTGCTCCACACATGGAGGCTACCCCGCTCTCAGACAGGGATGGTGTTGGGTCCCCATCCCCACCCAAGTCCTGTGCCTCTGGGGGCCTCTGTGGGTCCACTTCATGGGGGGGAAGGTGAGGCTGGACAGACTCAGGGACTGACCTCAAGGCCACCTGGCAGCAGGGGCTGGGGGCGGGGCTACAATGCTATCCTGGGGCTGGAACCCAAACGCGGGACCCCTAGCTCCTGACTCCCCAACTGGTTAGCCAGCACCCATTGAGAGGGCCACCTTCAGGAGAAGGGCCACACCCCGGGAGTGACTGGGTCTTGTGTGACAATGTGCACTCATCCTGGCATCGGCCGTGTCCAGGGTGAAGCACGTCTGCCAAAGAAGGCCCAAGCTGGGCCTGGTGGTGCGGGCCTGGATGCCAGTACCCAGGAGGCTGAGGAAGGAGGATCTCAGCAGGTTCCAGGCCAGGCTCTGAGGGGTTCAGAGGAGGTGTGGGAGGCCTCAGCCTCGAAGAAGGCTCCACCCAGGAGCGGACGCACATTCCAGCCACCCGGCAGAAGGCGCCTCCTGTCCCAGGCTCCCTACCACGCATTAATCAGCTGGAGACCTGGGTGTTCACACTGTGTGCTCCACATCAGGACTCTAGGTTCAACACCCAAGAGCTATCTGGCCTTGGAAGAGCCAATCACGGCTCTAGGCCTCAGTTTCCCTCCTTGCCGTGCAGGTGGCATCAGTGCCCAGCTCCCAGAGTCTTCAGAGGCTATGGCAGTGCCCAGCCAGCGTATCCAAAGTGTAAGAGCCAGCCCTCCAGCTGAGCGGGCTCTAGAGCAGCTGGTACCCACACCTCTAGTGACACAGCCCTGTCCCCGCCTCTGGGCCAGGCACACACAGGCCTGAGCCCATGTGCAGGACATCTTCGTGGTTAGCCGCTGTTGACAGAGCCCCAGGCTGGGCAATAGGTAGTCTGGCCACAGGCCGCAGCAAGCCGAAGAACTCTGGGGCCACTCTGTAGGTGGCCCCAAATCAGCCAGACCCACCCCTGGGCCTGCAGGTTCTCAGCCCCTCCCCAACCAGCACCCCCAGTGATGCCAAGGAGCTGTGTTCCACCCTTAAACTACAAAAACAGAGAAGAAATTTCTGTCCAAGATGCCAGAGTCGGGCCATTTTTTTTGAGATGCGATCTCACTATGTAGTCCAGGATGGCTTCCAACTCACAGTGATCCTCCCGCCTCAGCCTCCCAGTGCTTGGATGACAGCCGTGTGACACTATACCCAGTCAGGGCTGGTGTTTTCTAAACAGAGGCCAGCCTGGCCCAGGGGTCTGGAAGACCCATCCTGGGCCTGGAGCTCAGAGGGCACACAGGCCACATCTTGCTGCAGGTGGGGATGAAAGGGTGACCTGCCTGGGTTGAAATCAACCACATCAGCTGAAGACGCCATTAAAGACGACCATGACCTTGAACTGAAAGCAAACGAGGCAATGCAGTAGGTAATCAGCACGGTTGTGAAGGCTGGAGATTAGATAGCGGACTCCAGGATGCCTGGCTGGGGCCTATAAAACAATGGCCCTACTCTTGCGAAACCCAGCAGGACTGGGTAAAGGGGTGCCCACGGGGGCCCAGTGATTCAGCAGAAAGCCCTGGGCCTGAGGGTTCCCACAGAACACAGAGGAGAGGGGCGAGCGGGGCTGGGGCCAAGACAAGGAAGTGCACCGGGGCTGTGGGCATTCCCTGTGCTACTCTGCAAGCTCCCCCATTGCTTTTAAGATTTTAAAAATAAAATTTCAGAACCGAGTGTGGTGGTACACACCGTTTGTGATCCCAGCACTCGGGAGGCTAACGCAAGAGGATCCGTGTGAGTTCAAGGCCAGCCAAACCAAATAAATAAATAAGTAAATAAACAGGCCCAGGCACCCCCAGCATCCTGGAGAGGACCCACCCACCCAGAGGGCCACCCCTCGATGCCTAGGGCGACGTCCCTGGGCCCACAGCGATATTGCGACTACTCACAGGCAGGAGGCTCCTCAGTGGGGGCTGCGGTTCTGGATCTGCACCTGCGCAGAGGAGGGGACACTGTCAGGGGGCCTGTGACTGGGGGTGGGAGGGGCGTACACTCACATATTATTCCCCGAGTCAGGTTAAACGGCCAGGGCCTGCTGTGCCCCAGGACCGGGTAGGACTGGGCACGCTCTGGGAACATGGCTTAGCTCTGCTCTGGGTTTTCCTGCTCTGCATTATTTTCCAGCATCCCTCAAGGGGTGGAGCTGGCTGAGGCAGGACCTTTTCCCGATTCCTGGAACTTTAGGATGGGCACATGGGGACCAGGCCTCCAAGTCCTAGAGTCTCCATCGCCATAAATGACGGGGCTGGTAGCACATGGGACCTGGGCACCGTCCTTCTCCTCTGCCTGCCCTGCTCTGCTTCCCGCCTGGGGCTTCAGGTGGGAGCTGTCTCAACAGTCCACAAGCACCCACTGCACGCCAGACCCCACGCCTGGCACCAGGGATGAAGGTGCTGCTGAGTCCATCCATCCCGGCGGGCATGCAGCCTGTGACACTGGGCACGTAGGGAGACAAAGACCTCAGTCCTAAAGGGCACTGGGGAGGGTGGCTCTGACAGGGCAGAGAATGGCACTGTGGCCCTCAGGGGGCACTGACCTTCCTCCCCCGGTCAGGACCACTCTAACCACAGCCGGACAACAGGGGTGATGGCCAAGATGCCCTCCCTGGTGCTGAGGAGGACCTCCTGTTTGTG